AATATAAAGAACTAAATAAGAACTCTAGATATAGTAGTAATAACTGTCCTTATATAGTCCTCCCTTTCAGTCCATACCTTAAGGCTATTATAAGGTCCCATCATGGACTGTCCATCAAGGGTCCATGGTGCCTTCTCATAATCGCGGTCCATCAGGGACCGTCACCTTGTCTTGGCATTTGGGACCGTTGGTCACATGACCTAGCCGCTTTACGTCAAGCTGCGCTGCTTTTCTTGTAAGCCCTGTCCAACCAGTCCATGCTGCCTGTAGGTGTTCTGTAACACTCGTCTACTTTACCTAGGTTACTATAGTATATTTTAATTCCCCTTTATTATAATCAGCACCCTTAGGTGCTACTTTTATACACTTATATAGTAAGACTGTTTAATAAATGATGTTTCCTAACTAGTTGCTTTAACTAATAGTGTTCTACTAATAGGCTTGATTAATTTCCCCCTTATAGAGTATCTATTATTTCTGTAATAATCTTAGTTCCTGCAGGCTGAGCCTTGAAGTAGTACTTAGTTAAATTTCAGACTAGTTTATATAGTCTATTCCTGTAATAGATCTGTGGAACTGTGCACTTCTTCTAACCTACTTTTAATTAGTGGGTTTTAGTGTAGCCTCATTCTTATGTTTCTAAGGTGCTTAATAAAGTCTTAGCTAATCTTTCTTCCTTACCTTTTGTATACTATACCATCTTTGATAGGTGTTCACTCCTGCCCTATGTAAGTGGTAGTCTCTGGGTAGATTATATGAGAAGGTGTTAGAGGCGGTCTAGGTTACTTATGTGGTGACCCAGGTTTCGCGGGGTGGGGAGCTGGGTAACCCAAACAAAATGCTGTGCTGGCCCTTCGACCTGTTGACTGGCGAAGATCTGGGTGTCTTCCTTCCACAATGTCATTATTGTTCATCAACATGGTATTTGCTGTATTAGGAGTTAGGTTTATCTACTAACTCTTTCTAATGGGCATCTTGTTCAACTAATCCCTATAACTTATAGACCTGGCCAACTTCCACTTTTTAGTGGCCTAGCACCGTGCCCCAGTCCCCTGCACAGTTGAACTAGCTGCAAGCTAAAAAGGGCTTTCCTCTAGTGTCACCCCTGGTCAACTAGTTAATAACCACCTACTAAATATATCTTAGCTATGATAAACAAGCATTTGGAGCATATAGCAGGTTAATATTATCTATCTATAGTTACTACTATTTAGGAGCTCTATGATCTCCTTTACCCTGGTCAAACTTTGCTAAATGCCTAATGCACTGATACAATGGGCATCTTAACCTAGTTATTTAGCAGAGGAATCACCAAGCTACTTCTATCACTTTATAGGCTAAAAATAATTACTTAACCTCCCCTTAACTAACAGTAATTTGTGACACCATATTACCCTTTAATAATGATTAGACTTTGACCCTGGTTAAAGAAAACTATATTATAGTAGTGAGGTAATTAGCGCTCTGATAGAATATAGAGAGGCTTAACTATTATTATTCAGTCTAGTAAATGGGCCAAGAGCTCCCAGCGAAGATAATAGAGTAGTCTATAAGACTGGTCTAGTATGCTAGGACAATACTTAGTTATTCCTAATCATCTTCCCTATAAGAAACAGGAATGTCATGTCCCTCTACTCACAGTGGTTTCCCAGTTCCTAGCTGCACTGGATGCTGGCTGACATACAATCTCTTACCCAGCCTTTATCGGCGACACCAATGTCAAACAGTGAGACCAATGTCAAAGGTTACTTGCTCATGAGCATTATTTCAGCAGGGGTTAAAGGACCTATGCGCGGCCTGGAAGAGAAGGAGATCATCAGGCTACAGGTCAAAGCTTTTAAGAATGTTGGAGAGAAATGCCTGCTAATCTTAGAAGAGATGGCAGCCTTGATCTAAGAGTAGAGGGGGAGAACAGTGGACGACATGGTAGACAAGATAATGAAGGACTAGAACTTTTTAGTAAGTCTATCTCCATAATTATAAGTACTGTCTAGTTACTAACCAGCATGGCAGATTCCTGATGTCCCTTTTAACCCGAGTGACACTGAGCCAATGAGATGGATCTTCAATGAAGATATTAATCAAGGGTTTTTGGAACTCTAGGAAGCTCATAGTTAGAACCTCCCCTCCACTTGTGCATGGCGGGCCTGTGTCATATGAATCCCCTTCACAGGAATGGCGGGCCTGTGTCGTTTACATTCCCTTCATGGCCTTGGGCCCCATGGCGTACTACCCTGTACCCTGGGCCGTTCTTAGATGAATGGGTCCATTTGTTCTTAGGACGTTGTTGCTCTAAGACCCCCAGCTATAGGCAGGCACCTCTACGTGGTGCTGGGGACTAGTACTTGCCAGGGTATATCGCTCGTCAGCAAGGAAGCCAAGGTCTGCCCGTGCCATGCCGTTGGTACTTACCAGCATTGGTGCACCATCCTACATCACAAGGTGTTGATGCGACACAAAGGTGGAACGGAGGTCTACATCCGTTAATGCCCGCTACCATTCATGTACAATAGCTTGCCTTAACTTTTTTTTCGTGATACATTGTATATCCAGTCAAATAGATTCCGTCTGTAGTATACAATGTTCCAGACCAATAGTGTAGACGTTGACGTCTCCAGTGCTGAGGTTCATAGTGGCGCATTAGAATGATCCACCTCGTTGACTTATTCGTCTCCGTCCGACCAAGCTTTGTTGTTAGGATAAGACATAACGTCATGTACGTACAGTATCGGCTCCAGTCTACTTTACTTGGCAAACCCACATCACGGGGCGTATTGCCTGATTAGAGCTGATTGCTTGTCCAACTGCCCCCGCTAAAACGCGCTCAGAATATGGTCTATTTGATGAATTCCAACCTGAGGGATACTGTATTGCACTACAGTATAGGCCTCGGAGACCGACTGTCTTGTCCCTTGAGGGTAGAAGATCTCGCAGGGGCGAGGTAGCTCAGTGAGACCCTGGGCAAAATGAAATTACGGGAAGTCACGACCCCCAATGAATCAGAAATGGGCAAATTATCCGACAACATCCCGGATTCCCAGCTCTCGTGATGAGCTTTATAATAATGATCGGCAAGGTTCTCTTGGGCTGAAGACACAGTTGTCGTCGCTGGAACTCGGAGGTTAAAGTGTTAAAAATGCCCGGACTATAGGCCTGGTTAGATCGGAACAGGAATTCTCCGACAATACTGATCCCTAGATTTCGTTATGAGGTTCATGATTACCTTGACATTATCTGGCTGTACTGTAACTCATCATTTCTTTTGCTCCTCAACAAGAGTGGTGGGAATTACGTCTCTTTGAAACTGGTTGCCAGCCTTGGCTTATTCCGCATATCCTGAGTTTGACCGCCAACCTCTCCTTCAAACCCGCTGTTGACCAGCAGCTTCCAGTGGTGCCCATTTTGCGTTTCCCCAAGGTGCATGACGAAGACAGCCGAATATTCCTTCCTGGCTTTCTCGTATAGCCACTAGCTTCTAGGGATACTCACACTGTCCCGTACTCAGTCTACGCAGGATTGACGGTCTTGGGTACATAATATGACATTGTGTGTGCGAGGTGATCTGAGCCTCCGCTGCAGTAACTAAAATCCACTAGTTGATTGTGTAGTGTCCAACGACCCCGGAGGGGGTAACCGACTAGTTTCACCGACCGGTTCAATTGGGGATACCTAATGATCTTCCGCAGCTCCACCTTCTCGCGGTTTCGAAGCCACTCTAAACCGTCCACCAGTCTTACTGGATAGTTTCTGTCTGGTAACCAGATGTGAAGCAAGACGAAGGCATTGAAATGTTCGGTCAGTCTGAGGTGCTGAATGCAGGGGCCCTGAGGGGGTCCAAAAGGCAGGTAAGCCTAGAACTGCAGAAACTGGCAGGGGTAGACTGACAAGCTAGGGCGAGCACGGTATTGGGTTGGGAAAGAAGGAGTGTTTATTGGAAGAGTTTGGACCGGAGACTATCGCCGTCATGCGCATGCTGAAGCGAAGTTTAGACCCTCAGTACGTCCCTTCCTGATACAGCATGTCTGGTGCTGACAATCCATTAGCTTCCTGATGAATCTTGGCAAGATATTTGAGCCGTGAGGCCACGACTGAGCACTGTCAGGATGGAAACTGAAAATTCTCCATCGCTCCTCTGGTCAATCTTATCCAGCACAACGGAATGTCGTTCGAAAGCGACAAGGGGAGCCCATGGGGCGTCATTTCAGCAATACACATTCCAAGGCAGGACAGCAAGGAAGGGTTCAAAATGCGAGACGGGATTTGTTTGGTGTAGAATAGCTCTATTAGCGCGTAACGATAGAAATTTAGACCTCAACATGTCTGAAGAAATTGCTTTGTCACAGCAGCTAGTCTGGCAGTCTGGCGTAGACAGCGACCCCCCGAAACAGGATATATGGGTCTAGATACAAACTTGAAGCCTAAGATATCTGCCTTCTTAGTAAGTTCACCGAAACCCAAAAGCCTCCGCCAAACCGAGCATCTCATTGTATCAGAGGAACATAGACCTTCTCAATGGCCAAGAGAAATTAGTCCGAGTATATTGACTGTTCCGACTGGCTTCGCTATCTAGACGCTTGACATGTAAGTGGCTGACCTAGGCCTGCAAACGTCTTACTACCCAGTTCTCATAGGATGTTATTTAACCCGCCGGGGAAGTCGGGGGTGAAAGGGTCACTGTCAGATATTCTCTAAATGGAATTTGCGCCCTCTGCCCAGTATGCATCCCAGGATGGTCTTCCTTACGCTGCGGAGCCTAGATTCCCAATTAGGTCCCCTATCAATGCTATGCAGCTGGCTGAAGAAAGTGAACCGTACACATAATATACACATACCCCATAGGCAACGCCTGTTATAAATATGGCTTGATGGGAGCAGTTCAATCCAGAACAACACTCGCTATCTCTTTCTTCCTATGCTACAAAGCGCCCATCAACATCCTACCTACAATCCCTCCTATGATGCTGCTTCTCATACTACTAGTGACCAGTGCCCCCTGCATTATGTCACAGGCAGCTCCACTGACGGCACGCGCAACCCTGGCACAGGTCACCAACTTTGGCGCCAACCCAGCGGGAGTCAGATTGTATATGTACGTTCCTGACAGTGTTGCCCCTTCACCTGGAATTGTGGTTTCCCTCCATGGTGCCTCTGGAAATGCCCAGCAACAGTATCAATCTACACCTTATGCCAGACTTGCCGACCAGGATGGGTTCATCGCCATATACCCCGAGTCAACCCAAGGAGCTTGGGATGCAACATCTACTCAATCACTTGTACACGAGGGCGGAGGCGCCAGCCAGTCAATAGCTAATATGGCCAAATACGTCCTTAGCACCTACAGAGCCGACACGAACAAGGTATTCGTATCAGGGATCTCCTCGGGTGGTACCATGGCGGTAGGTCGCTCGCCCCTGTAAAACAGGGACCTTTAACATGTGTGTTTTGTAACATCTCTGATAAAAGATGTGCCGCAGAATACCATGGCAGGGGCATACCCGGATGTCTTCAAAGGGGCTATCATCTACTCTGCTGGTTCGGCAGATAACATTCGCAACATGTACCAGGATATACTGGCAGTTATCCAAAAATACAGCTCTATCTCGGAGCTGAAGATACAATGATTGGATCAAGTGTCTTCAACACAACCCTTGCTGCGTGGGCTCTAGTCCTCGGGTACGATGCCACACCTAATCAGGTACTCGCCAACACCCCTGTAAGAAACTGGACGACCTACGTTCTCGGAAGCAAACTACAGGGTATATGGGCAGGAGGGGTCGGACATCCCGTCCCAACTCAGGGTGATGAGGACATGAAGTGGTGGGGGTTTGCGGTGTGATAGCTTCTGTCTCTATAATTGATGCGGTGTTTGCATTATTTAGATGGCGTTTTTCTAGGGTGAAAAACGATATAAGTGCATAGTAATAGTAGTTTTTCTCGGAGTCTAACGATATCGCTTGGTAAATGCATGATATTTCTAGACATAGAATGAGCTAAGTCGACTTGTCGAGAGGTATAAAAGTTCATAGAAGAGAAACAGCGTGGGGGTTTATTGGCGTGAGAGAGAGAGAATACAGTGGCGACCGTTATTGCATTCCATGTTAACATAGAGATGCTGTTTCAAACCCTAATCACATGATAAGCTAAACCCAAATGGACTCCGCGTAAATTACTAATTCTATAAATACATTGTAATGATACCTAAACCTTGTACCCAACTGTATACTACAAGGTCGAGAAGAAGGGCACGGATGACTGGAAGGCTCCATACAAACAGAGCAAACAGGCGACTGTAAGCAATCTGTCAACTTCTCTCCTCTATCTCTCAGTTGCTTCACTGCAGAGGGTCTGGCGCTGCCCTGGCTGTGCATCGCGGGTTAGGTCAATAGGCAAGGCTGGATAGTAAGATTTGTTAGGTGATCACCATCGCTTATCCACTTGGGCGGCTGCAGGTCTTGATTGGGCAATAGACATTCCCAGGTTAACCGTTACAGCTCGAGGCTACCCTCCCCTAGACCTTTTCGCGATAACACATAGCTATTTTAGTGACGATGCCGATCAAAGCGCTACTAATTTGACAGCCACAAACGGAGCAAATCGAACTGGCACAATGACAAAACGTGAAACGGGTATTCGCAGACGCGACGCTCTCTACTGTACGCAGCATGGCAGTAATGCAGCACCTCTAGTTATCACCACGAGGGTCTTCCACGTAGAACGATGGCGCACCCAAATGGACATAGCCAGGTCAGAAAAGCCGCTCAGGAACAAGATAGAGACATAGATGACAAGTAATCTCAGCTTCTATTCTTTATTGGTAGAGCGGAAGTGCTCATCGCAACTCTCCCCCCTTTGCTACCCGAAGATCAGATCCTCCCTCCTCTAGAAGTTCCCGTACATCATCAAATTCGGGGTCACTGCAGAGAATATCCCACACAGTCAGGCCATTATTATTTCTTCGTTTCACCTCTGCCCCACGAGATAAGAGAAACTGCATCACCTCTACGCGACCGTAGATGGCCATGGTATGCAACGGCGTATTTCCATGTCGGTCTATAGCACTTATATCTGCCCCATGATCCAGGAGCAGCCGAGCTACATTGACGCTATAACAGCTGTGCAAAGGAGTCTCGCCATCTATATTAGCCGCTTGAGCGTTGGCCCCGAAGCGTAGAAGTAACTCTACAGTTTCTGAACCCCCGGACCGACAGCACTGTGCCGCGTCGTGCAGTGGTGTCACCCGACCTCTGGTTAAGACATGACGTCGGCACCATGCTCAATCAGTAGCAGTGTGCATCGTGTGTGCCCTCTAAAAGCTGCCCAGTGCAGAGGCGATTTCCAGCGAAAATTTGTGTGAATGGCCCCGGACTCCAGAAGCAGCTTCACAACTGCCGAATGGCCTTCACGGGCAGCCAGATGTATTGCTGCATAGGAATGCATACGGTCAAATCTGACAATGTTTGGCTTTGGTCCAAATTGTAGGAGAAGTTGCACAATTTCCTGATTCCCTCGATCCGATGCGTGGTGCAGTGGTGTCCAGCCATAGGCATGTGATTCCCGATAAGCTCGTGGTGGAGAGGCTTTAACGCCAGTAGTGAGGAGCAATCGTACAGCCCCCACATGTTCAAAACCCACCGCGGCATAGAGAGCTGCAAACGCGTGGTTGCCCGGAAGATCCTTTGGCGGAGTGCGTTCGAGTAGCTTGACGAGGGTTGATATTCTCCCTTTCGTAGCTGCCCACTCAAGAGGAGATACGCCATCCCTGTTGACATAGGTTTGGGCACGGGTGTGGTTACAGATCGGCTTGTAGGAGCTGACGTAATATTTTGGCAGACTTTGAGAATGAGTTGAACGAGGGGACAGGGAGCCATTCTCCTATCAAGAGGAGAATCTCGTTCGGCAACAGGGTGATGTGCATGTGGCTGGAGCTTTAATTTTCATCCGTTGGAATGCTGCTTCAAAAAGAACTTCGGAGATTCGACTGAGGCATCAAAGGGGCTGAGTTATGGCGCAGTAATCAAGAGAATGAGTCTGCTGACGCCATCCGTGACTTGAACGACCTCCAAAAGTCTCCGCGATGTAGCGAATGGAATCAGGAATTAAGGATTATTGGGAGGCTATTTTTGGGGCTCCTAGGACACGGCTATTTTTGGACACGTACCGGTACACGAGTATTTCGCCCATTCAATGACATTTGTGTTAGCACTGAGGTTTGTGTTGACAACTGGTATTGTTCTCGGTACCTTCAATGATCGACACGGATTAGTATTTTGTTTTGCAAAACCATGCTGGTAAGTTCGATGGTCTGCATGCATCCCCACGTAAAGAAGTTTGCTTCTTATCGTCGCAACCACCAGGAGTTCAGGTGTCATATTGTGTATCTAGAGCTCGCCAAATCGCGGGTTGGGTTGGGTTCTCACTTTTCGAGCCCGCCCATGGGCAGCCCAAGCTGGGTTTGGGGTGTCCTAAACCCACCCATGGGTTCTGTTGAAGTGAGAAATAGATTGATTCTGTTTCTTATGCTATTCTATCTTTTACAGGGGCGGGATGCCTCATATATATCTGTCCTCAATCCCTGCTAAGGTGCCATCACGTGATATTCAACAGGCGGGTTTAGGACACCCCAAACCCAGCTTGGGTTGCCCATGGGGCGGGCTCGAAAAGTGAGAACCCAACCCAACCCGCGATTTGGCGAGCTCTACACAGTATCGCACGTGACCAAATGGTATACGATCGCTTGGCTAGCTAGTATATACCCTTCGTCTATCATATACGAACCATCTACCACACGAAGTATCGAAATGATATAAGGACACTCATTACCATATACCTAGGATGATAATACCTGTTTAGTTCTTCGCGTTCAATACCACTGTCTTTGATAACCGTCAAGTGTTACCACTGCTAGTACGATTCGTCCATACTCCTTATCACAAGAGGATATACGTATCCTCTTGGCCTTGCTTCCACCTACGCTGCTTCAGATCTTAGGATCCTTGTGTTATCTCGTTGGGATCCTACATAGTTCTCAGGAGCCGCCCCGCTCCCAGGATAAGTATTTACCTGTCACTAGGATCAGTGGTTTTCGGTCACCCGTTGCTTGAACTATAGTACCAGCAGGTTGTGCAGCTTCGACCAAACTGCCCCTAGCAGCAACTGATATAAACTATTAAAAACATCCATTTGAAGTCATTTGGAGTGACTCTCTATTGGCTACTAGGTATAGTTCAGAGGTTGAAAGTAAATATCCCCATTCACAGTGGTGGTCAGCGTGCCATTCGCATCGAATTCATTCTCCAGAACGTCAAGTGATAGATGAAACCCTCCCGGAGAAGTGACCTTGGTGCTATATGTGGCACCAGTGGAGGTAAGGTTAGACTCCCAGTCAAAGCGCGATAAAGTCTGTGAGATGGCTGTTGATGTAACCTGCTCATTACCAGAAAGGTAATGAAATCCATCATCTGAGAAGTTGTGGTAGGTCACACCCACCGTTGCAAGGCCATCTCCGCTGCTCCTGTTGATCAGCGAGACCGCTGCAAATCCAGATAGCTTGCCAATGAGTGTGTAGTTGCCCTGCTTAGGAGAGGGACGGCTCGGGTCTGCAGTGCCTGCCACGTAGGGAACCCCCCAAGGCACGACGTCAGATACAGGCTCAATAAGTCGCATCTTCTGTGGGGTCCGGCTGGTGAGTGTTGCCAGCATAATTCGGTATGTACGACCGCCTTGCGCGGTTGAGACGGGGCAAGGTAGCGGGTTGGCACCTCCACAAGCAGGAGAAACGGTTAAGGCTTGATAGTATGCGATCTTCGTGCCGTCCCAGGACCACCTGGGATCTGCCTGAGCATTCCATTGTGGGTCGTTGATACTTCCTGGGCTCCCGTCCCCTTGTCCATTGACCTGTTGGCCAAAGTAGTTGCCGCAGTCACCGCCGTAGTTGAGTATCCAAGGCTCGAAGAAGCGGCGAGCACCGTTGTTGCGGATTGAGGATGAGGCTGGAACACTGACGAGATCTGTAAGTGGAGGAACATGGCGCATCCCGTCCATGAACATAGTTCGATGTGTACTTCGGGTATCCAGAATGACAATCCACTTGTCGTCGTGGCTTGAGTCGATAGGATCAGCGTACCCCGGGTTCTCAGTCACGCGGCGAACAACACCAGTAATCTGATCGACTGCGAAGAGATCAATGTTGCCAGATTCCCATACAGGGCCAACATAGAACATCTCTCGGCCGAGGCCGCTGAATCCTCGGAACTCACCCACGTTTATGGCAGAGTAGTTGATGGTCAGGGTAGTCCCAGATACGATTATCTGAGGTGGAGCATCAGGGTTGAATAGACGGGTAACATTGTGCAAGTCATATCTCGGGACAAGGGGAAGACCTGCTGTTGGTTTTGGATTAAACGACAAGCGGGAAAAGTAAGCAAATTCATCAATGGAAGCACTATTAGTCGTATATGCATTGAACCCCAGATGAACGTTGTCAGGATGAATTCGTAGCTCACGGATGACACCACCTTCGCCAGAGCCATCAGCGGCAATGTTCCAGCGAATTGGGTAAATCCAGGTGCTATTTGGTGTGCATTCATCACTTGAAAGCAGGGCACCGCCGTCAACGATATTGGAGCCAACAAGAACCCGGCGGCCATCCTTGAATGCTTGCGGGTATTCAAGCATCTCGGTTATCCCCATTTTTTGCGATTCTGGAACGCCACAGGTGATACATTTCCATGCGTCTCCATTGGGAAAGGCGGTTCCATTGGTTCGTAAGACGATCAATTGCAATCCACTGTAGATGCCCCCTGCTGGTGCTCCTGTAAAGTTGACCGTTGCAACTATATGGTTGTTGTCTGGCAGGAAGTTCCCATTGCGCAATTCATCTGTCTGGCCAATACACCCTGTTGGGTTAACGCACGAGCCCTGTGCATCTGACGGCGCGACTGGAGGTAATGGCAGCTCAACTACCGTGATGGGTTCTGGCTGTGGTGCTGGAGGACAGCCGGCAATAACCTTGGCAGGTACAAAGAGCAGGAAAAGCGCGGTAGAGATAATGGTGTACATCTTCTGATAGGTCCAAATAGGGTGTCCGGGGTCCCTGAGAGTGAAAAGATATCTACATGGAGGGGGTACCGCGCCCATCTTATCTAAAATATCCACGTTCTACCATCATCCCCACCGAAAATTATTCCCCACGGGCCCCGTGGAGTCCGCTGGATTTAGGGCAGCCCCATTTCTCCTCAACCCGTTACAACAACGCCTCAGGATGAATTAAGCCGGAGCCATACCACACAAGGCATGTAAGCTGCCGAGGAAAATCTCGGGTAAGGAGTCAACAGCCGCTTACGGGGTTTTTCGCTATTATTAAATGCACATTAATCTCCATTTGGTTACGCTCGGTCCAGGGACGAAGACTCAATATTACGATCCAATGTCCAAATCAACGCCGACAGCTTGATACAGGTTCAGAAAGCACAATCGTCGGTAGTTCTGCGTTTTCGTCCTCCCCCTGTCTCTACTGGTCAGCTCCAGACTGTGGTACCTCGAGTATTGCAAAATTGGAGGCTATTAAAAACCTAGCAGTTATGAGTTGGAGGCTGTGATTGACCCGCGCTGATACTGACCAATCCGAAAACCATTTCTGTACATTTACGGGCGTCAAATCCGCGCTCGTCGGTCCATGTCGATCTACCAAATCGAGGACTCCACCAGCAATTCGCCTCCTTAAAATATGTCCCAGGCTATTGATGTCCGGGTATTTTTTTGCCACACACGTTTATTGAGGCAGTCCATCTGCACGTCGATCACAGCTAGAGCAGAGAGAAAGCTCTCCGCATATTTCGGTAATCGATATACGAGACGGGTCAGAGCTGGGAATGTGCTCCGTACAGTAGGTTCACTGGTTCACTCACCGTGGTACTATTACAGAGGCTGGCCCACCAAGGGAATAATATGGGCATACATACGAATACGATTCACCAATCTGAACTCCGCATAACCTGAATAGGGATTGACGGAGGCACACTCAACCGTTGGTCGCTTCCAGGGAACGCAAGCGCCCGGAAAACTCGATGGACATGGAGTTTCCTCGGAATGCGCCAGTATTGACATTGTGAATTCTCCAAATGGCTCTTTTCACCCGCGGAGAATATGCAGGACGCCGTTCTATCCAGCCTAATTACTAGGTTTAGGGTGTTGGCCAGCCGAGACAGAATCCCTCTTGATTAAGAACCAATTGGTCTTGATTGAGGAGACGGCGGTCATATTGAAAAAGATGTGAACTAGAACGGAATGGGTCAGTAACTCCGCGGAGCCTAGACAGCCAATAGCACGACTTCGACCAGGATAATTCTAATCCGTAGGTAGGCTGACAAGTGAGCAGAAAACAAATAAAAATTATCCATTCTAAGACTAACTATTGGAAGACGTCTCAGAACGCAAGCCGATGTTCTAGAAACGATTCAAATGCCGGACTTCTATATTGTGGAGGAGAAAATGGGAAGAGCCTCGTTCTCCCTCTCAACTTCCTTTCTTTCCATCCCTTACTTTGAACTCTGTGTATCTGAATGTCCTGGCCATAGAAGTGGACCATACTTGGATGTGTCATCTGGATTTCACGGTGTCCCACCAAGACACAGCTGGACTTTTCTTCTACTTTAAAAGGTCTTTTGCCATCGACGCGAAGCCTCCCAAGTCCCTGTGCATTCATATTACCGCTGATATGCGGCACAAGCGATATGCGACCCACAGCTTGTCAACTTCGGATCAGTAAAGGGAGACGAAGATCTCTGGTTTTATGAAGAAGTGATATCGGTCCCTTTCCGCATCGAGTCCCGGACATGTTTGGGGTTCATGTGCTTCGACTTTTTTACTCAATCTATTGTCCTTGTTTTCCACGCCAACCGCGTTGGGGGTGGGGGAGGCCTCCGGAATTCACTAGTGCAGGTGGGATGCCCCTGGGCCGGTTACTTGGCGAGCAGTGCCTTGTGGGACACGGCAGTGGATGAGTCCATGCTTATCTGCATTGATCAGAACGAGGACCATTTTCTTCACGTCTACCAGAGAAGCATCGATCTGGCTAATTGCAAGCCCTTGAGGTGAATGGCCGTCAAGATTCTGGAATATAACATTTCAACCGGAAACCGAACGCCGTGAAATCTGTCGAAGCGACTAATACCGTCTTGTCAGACACAATCTGTGCAGTTTTCAGATATTCATCACATAAAGAGCACTGTGATTACTCACGTGTTGAAGTCGAAATTGTGCAGTTCATTTGATGAACGAAAAGACCAGCCAGAATGAGTTCTGCCTGCGGGAACGGGACATCGCCTCGCAGCACCCTACCATATGGCGGCCTTCAGTATCAACTTCAAAAGACCTTTGACTGGTGGAAGCATATTCCGGGTGAAATATTCTGAGAGCTTTGAAAAAGAACCCGAAACACCTGCCTGCGTCAGACGGAAAGGCGATCGCTGCGATACCTCGAAAACACTGTTTGGGACCCAGGATATCTATCGTTTCCAGGGCTTGCTGTCAGTGACGTCAACTCAGTATTACTCAAATGGGCACAAAATAGAATTCTTTATGCCATTTCATTTCCGAACACTTCGCTTCATTAGTGTCGATATTGAGGTCACCTCCTCTGGCTTGATCCTTGATAGCTTTCAAATCCTTGAGGTGAATTGTCCTCTTGCTGTTTATGCAAGCTTTGAGGCAACCCAAGAACTCCAAAGTCTGAGGTTACAAAAGTAAGGGCGCAAAGAATTGCTGTTCGTAATGCGTACTGATAATACCAACAGACAACATCTGAAAACCTAATTCCACGGCCTTGACAGCGGGATCATTCCTTTTCTCTAAAGCGCGACCAGTCATCAGCGTCAAAGCTGGGTACTGTAGTGGGAGTTCGGGCAGGTCAGCTTCCCCTTCTATTGCATGATCCTATGATATGTAGCTTAATCTGAGAAAAGCCTGAGAACCTGAAGTATCTGCGTTACATATTTGGCTATATTGATATACCCTTTTTCTTTACATTTGTCTTGCGATGATATTAGACCTTGCCCATCGATTTTCTGGCCAAGAAAAGATTGGGGTGAGTGGAAGATATAGCAGTTATCTAGCTACTTGATCTTTTAGGGTGGTATGAAGATGGGGTTTCTGTGAGATGAAGCTTAGTGCAAGGATGATACTTTTGTAGAGCTACGGGTCGTGAAAGGGCATAATGCCTGTCAATGCAGGAAGTTGATTGCTTGATTTTAATTTTTTGACACAGATAAGGTAGCTATTTTTGACGGTATGACGAAGACTATATACCTTGCTTATTTGATTCTGTGTACAGTAGAACCGTGTTGGTAGTGGCTAATAGAACCTAGGGTCATTAAATGGGTGTGGCGGTTTATTTTAATTCTTTGAATAGCATATTATTTTAATAATATCTCTATGGGGCGTTAAAAGCATAGAAATGATATCTGTTTGATTGAATTATGACCGAACTTTCGATATAACCTGGTGTTTACGAGATCGAGTGTTGAATGCCCAGGCGATTAAGTGCAGTAGGAAAACGCGATGGCTTTTCCAACTTCAGGCGGCAGAGCGTGGAATTCAGCTATCTTTGGTACCTAGCTAGCAGTGAAAAATTCTAAGGGCCAAGTGTTTGGCCACCTGTTATTTTCAATTTGTGGCAATATTCACTGGGGTTTGGTGACGTGTTCCCTTATTACTCTTGGGATTGATATTTCATTTTGAATTCACACCCACCTCTGCTATGTTGGGCGAAATCAATCGATATTATCGTAGCCTTGAGTTAGAATATTGTATGACTCCTGTCAGTAGGATAGTCACGCTTGACAGTGAATGACAGTGGGAGCCCGAATATTGCTTGGGGGGAGGGGGCGTGGTTGATTATCCTGCAAGGGGATGGGTTTACACATTGTGTGGAGTGAATGTAAGAAAGGAATGACTACTGTTAATATCTTGCCTCTGCCCTAAAGTCTTTCCCTATATACACACTTGCTAAGAGCCATCGCCCAGATGACGACTTCTATGCACCGATAACGACATAAACGGATAACATCAACCTTTAAAGAGCCGACAGTAACAGCTCTGCATATCGCTTTTTTGTTAGTGGGCAATATAAATGACATCAAGTAATAGTCCACCCGATGGTAGTCATTTGCTGGCAGCATCACGTATTGTGGCATGTTCACTCATGATGCGATTCAACTCCCCCCTCGACACACAGTTCTCGAATGCAAATGACTTTGCACATTCCTCTAGCTCATCCTCACTCATGTTTTCAAAATGCTTGGCAAATTCCATGCTGAAGCTGTCTGCCACAAAGGTCTGCATAACTGCGGGGCGAATATGCCTTTCCGTGTTCCACGTTGTTGGATAGGTCTTCGTGGCCTCCGGAGCATGACGATCAACCCACCGCACAAGTTCCTTGATGGATTTATCAAGTTCTGCGTTTGGATACATGCCCCAGTGGTCAAGATTGAGATGCTTCTTCTTGTCGGCGAAATCTTGCACTGTTTTCATGTACTTGCTTTCTGGATCGCAATAGATCATGCCTTGCAAACCAATGTCTTTGTACAACCAGATGCTCCAAGAGATCTCGTACTTGTCATATATCTTCAATTGGGCTCCTAGCAGATCGTACCGGCACTTGTTGAGTTCTTCGGCGTTAGGGGTTCGATGCGGCTCTTCATAAGCGGGGCCAAACTCGCCATTCCAGAGGACAGTACCCTTTTTCTGTTGGAATTCAGCCTTGCGGAGGAATTGCTTTTCCAATCTATCCATTTGCTCTGTTGAGCCGAGGAACTTTTCCCCCGTCGGTAGTCCCATCGTGCTGTAATCATGGATGCTGTAGGCCGAATTCGGCAGGACTTTTTCGAACCCCTTCCATTCCATTGAAAATGTATTCCCATCAAGGAATAGAATGTGGTTTGGGTCGACAGATCGTAATTCCCATTCGAATCGCTCATAGAAAGCGGGCAGCCGAATGTGCTCCGAATTACGTGGCTCATTCATCGGATTGTACCCTGCTACCCAGGTATTCTCCTTATAGCGCTGCGCAATTTGCTGCCAGAGCCAAATTGTTCGGTCCTGGAAATCCTTGTGGTCCCACCAGTTGAATGACTTCCGGGGTTGTCGGAGTGCTAGTCTGGGTTATGACCACCAGGATGCGTGTGCAAGTCAATAACGGTGTATATGTTGTGTTTGGCGCACTGTACTTCAAATCAGAATATGAATAGCGGGAAGCAAAATATGAAAATACCAAGTTGATCGCGCGATCTGATCACTCGAGGGTTTAGATCATCCTCAACATGACGGTAATTCACAGGGATGCGAATGCAGTTGAGACCAAGTGATGCAAAGAATTTTGCGTCTGACGGTGAAAAAGTCTACCGTTGTCAGTTTAGTGATCGAGTACCCACCCTTAGGGCATCGGAGAGCGTACAGGTAAGGAATTTATCGAAGAAAAATTCATACTTCTCCGGGCCGAGAACTTTTTTCATAGCGGCACGGTGTTGACATACCTGACCAGGATATCCAGTAATAAAATTTTCCATGTTCATCCAGCCGCCAAGTGATGCACCGCGAAGTACAACTGAGGACGCATTCTCATCCACAATTTGGCCTCCTCGAACCCGAAGAAATCCAGTAGCCATCTTGGAACGGAGAAAGCTGGATACACTGGCAAGGGTGAAGGTCTATTCAAAGAGGAAAAAAGGTTGTGTTGTTTTCCAGTGGTCCTTCCGCTTCGCTTGTTTTATCCTCGATTGGGCCTTCCACTCGGGTTTCGATTGCCCGATTTTCCGGTACGTATTTCCTGTGGTGTGGAAGTCTCAACAATCACCTTTACTCTGTGGACAGTCTGAGAGTTCAGTCTTTGTTTGCATGACGCTCCACTCTTTGCCTCTAGAGCGTTACCTCGTTGGATTAGGGTTCGAACACTATCATGAAGGGGGCTTCAACCGCGAGAGTCTGGTACGGTGATTGTTCAGGATGCTCCAATTTTGTACCTAAGAAGGTCCCATGCAGTCGTATATCAATTGCCTCAAATACGAAGACTCTCTTGGAAGTTGTTACAAGCAGCTTATGCTTCCTCCGCCGCTTTCCCAGAGGACAGGAGACCTATCTTCAGCCGCCGGGCCTTGAGCCAAGGGAAATGGTAGAGTTTCCCCTTCCTCGGGCATTCGGCGACATCAGGGCAGGTGCTTCCACCAAGTTGATCCCCCACACGACACAGGTTGTATCTCTCGGAGACTGGCTACTTCACACCGCAGGGTCTCAACGTACTGGCAATTGTAACTTATGTCGGCGCACCGCTCCCGCCGGAACCAGTCAGTACTTACAATGGGACGCAGACTATCATGTTGAAGGCGGACGGAAACCCTTTCTCACGTGCATGCTCTTGGAATCCAATGGTGGAAAGTAAGTTTCCGTAGCTGGAGTTTGACATATGCTCCGATATTGACACGCTCAATGGCAATAACGAGGAAATATCATTCCAGCTGGTTCTTTGCTAGAAAATCGGTGTATTCATGAAAAAGCAAGAACACCCAATCAACATTTGTTGTCCGTCGATTATCCCCACAAAAATAAACCCTGAATGCTACCCAGACCCTCCCCACACCCAGCCCTGGGGTTGCTACGCGCAGACGGCTCCATATCCTGGACGTCAACGCAGGATCCGCGGCCAGTCGCCACTTTCTATTCCGTGGACAGCCGAGAGACTGGCGTTAGATCGTCTCTCCGCGGAATTCCCACATCAAAGTGTCGCCTACCAACTCCTGGGCTCGGGCCCCAGCTTTGCAGAGGTGGATCTGGACTCTTTGGATGCTACTAGCTCTACCAGCTCATCAGCCGATTGCGAGTCGAGGTCAGCCTCAATGCTACAGTCCGCAAGCAATGTAATCCGTTGGTACTCGTTTGGTTTGGACAACGCACTGTAGCGCGATTCATAAAGTAACCACCATAGCCGATTGTCAACGGTGCCAGCCTAGAGATTTTCACAGTACTAAGAGTTCAGTCCCATGAAACTACCTATGACCGTTTAAGACAGACTCTATATAATATTGTAGGTATCTATTGGGTGAACTCTACAATTTGGCAAAGAAACAAAACTCAGATCCGTTTACTTCCAGCATCATCTCCTGGTCTGGAAGGTACAGATGTACGGGCACAGGCTGGGCGTCCTTCATCTCGACCTTGATGCGGACTTGCACATCGCTCGTGGCTGCCCTTCGCACCCAAGACACGTGGACGATGCCGCTCGTCTTGCCGTCCACCATGCGCATTGGCACGCTAGCCTCGAGCTCGGGATAGAGCTTCAGCCTCGGACGAACCTGGATGGCTTTCCAGCCCGGTGCAGCAGGACGAACCCCGGCTACCTCGGCCATCAATTCATACAGGGGTACGCATCCCCATGCGTGGCAGTCGGAGCGCTGTGAGATGCTGTCTTCAACCCAGGTACTTACTCCCATGCCCAGCTGACCGAGCCACGGTTCCCAGAACGCGTGGAAGTGGTCGTCATAGACGCTGCCCCCGGCCATGCTCAGAGCCCGTAGCGTGTAGAAAGACATAGAGACTGATTCCTTCACGAACTCCCCTGCGTTAGTTCGGCGTACGCTCTTGCGCAAGAGCTGCTGTGCCTCCGGGCCCCTGACTATTCCGCTGAGCACTGCCCAGACCTGGCTGTGCTGACTATGTGGTGCCAATATGTCGTCAGCCTGTGAAGAGACCAAGCTATCGGTGAAGAACTCGCCATCAAAGCAGTGCTCTCGCACGGCCGCAGCAACTTGTTGAGCGCGGTGGCGGTATTCTTTGGCCAGCGCTGATCTCTTAACCGCACTGGCGATCTTGGCGGCCATTCCCAAGGCGTATGCGTATATCTCGTTGCTGAAGGTAGAGAAACCGCTTCGCTCGCAGATCGGAGGGCAACCGTAAGGCTTCCATTCGTTAGTCCAATCGATGAAGTTCCATATCCCAGGTCGAACTTCCCATTTCACCAGCCCGAGTTGGGGGTCGACGCGCGACGCAAAGGACGCCAGGATTGCGTCTATGACCGCAACGAACTTAGAAAGAAATAGCTTATCGCCGAAATACTGCCAATGGTCGCCGAGCAAGCAGATCCAATACAACGAAAAATGCGGAATAAACTGTTGCCGGTGAGACGGAGCCCGGCTGGCAGTCAAGCCGAGTCTAGGCTGAAAAGAGTTATGCAGCTGAATAATCGCTTGACGAGCCAATCTGTCGTCACCAGAAACACAATAGGTGAAAAGGGCAGAGCTTCTAGTGTCCATAGAATACTGCAGCTGCTCATAGAACGGGCAGTCTTCATAGCAGTCATGCATACAGTTCACCAAGGTTCGGAGGCTAGTCGTCCACAGCGGATCGACCATGGATTCATGGGCGCCAGTGGTGATGCTCGCCTGCACATCCAGCGCATAGTGGACCGAGTCTATATCGATGCCCTGGAACACAAGCTCGGCGCCTTCAACAGATATATCAACTTTAATGAACCGGAAGGTCCGATAATGGAACGGCACGAACACCTCCTCCAGATCCTCATTTTCGAAGTATTGTGGACCCGGGAAATTTGTCTTGCCCTGAAACTGATAGAAGTCGTGTGGCCCGATAAGTTGTTTTGTCCTGTCACGACGGTGAGCCTTCCGCCTGACTCCCTTATAGAGGTCTGGCTCATCTTCGTAGCTCTCTGCATAGGTGAGCCGGATAGAGCTCCCGCCATGGCTTGGGCGCAGGAACCGGATACGAAGGAGAGCCGTAGTATGAGCGGCTACTTCGAGTTCGAACTGATGTCTAGATCCTGGTGCCAGACAAACTTCGGAGCAAGGACCTTTCCACTGTCCGGCTAACAGTACGTGGTGCCACGACTCGAGCGGCACATTGCTGCGCACATTGTGTATCTCGGAGAAGCATGCTCTCTGGATCCGGTGAGGTGGAATAAGGCGAGGTGACAGATTCCAGGGTGGTGCGTTACCAGTCGAGTTTTTGAATTCGAGGACTTTGGCAACTTTCCAATCAATAGGACCATCTGCATGTTGACGCCTGTGAGCCTCGTATATATGAAGGAAGTTATCTTCGGGCTCGTCCACCCGAAGACTGGCGAAAGGGTCTATTGCGGTCTCCCAATGCCTACTGCTGCGGAGCTTCTCGGAATATTCTCCCTCGTCTTCGGGAACGTGGATGCGCAGACCGCCGGAAGCCAACCGGGGAAAAGAAGGAGCAAATTGAGTTGCGTAGAAGAGCCGGAGGACATGAACCCCGACGTGATTCTCCCCCTTCCTCAGGAACGGACCGATATCGGCCTCATCATAAAACCACAGGCTTTGGTCACCTTTGACAGGGCCAAAACAGACCAAGTGCTGGTTGACGTAGAGTTTGTATTTTGTGTCGGCTGAGATGTGGACCTTCAATGTTTTTGGAGGGTCCTTGTCGAGTGTGAACTGTCTCCGGAAATGTACAAACAAGCCTGCCGTGTCCGGTTGGTTTTCCGGGAAAGCTGGGTGCCATATCCAGGTTCTGTCAAAGGTGGCAGACATGGTGGCGGGGGTCGTAGTGGGGGAGGGAAGCACGCGCACACGATCACAAAGAGAGAGAAGGTGAGTGAGAGAAAATGAGGATGTGGTGGCGTGTGGTGCGCGCAACTGTCCTTGGCGATGCACAGAGGCGGTTCGGAAGGATACAGTGCGACCCAGCTAATTAATTGGCGTTCAATCGCCAATATAGATTTATCCCTTCTGCAATATGCTTACGAGCGTGGCGCAAAGATCGGGTTGTTGCCTTAGATCACTCAAGGACAAATGCACTGGCTTTATAGTATGCTAGTATACTAGCTTACGCACTCCGCGGAGTGGATATTACTAAGCTTTGCCAAGTCGCGGAACCCGCGACCTTTGCATCCACAGAAGCGCTTTCCTCAGGACACCTCCTTGTCTACACACTCACATAGAAAAGGCGCTAGGGCGCTGAGCAGCAGGTAGCAATGCCTCCATCGCACGCCTGTGACGCCTGCAAGCGTCGGAAAGTGAAATGTGATGGTGTGGATCCTTGCGCCAATTGCCGCATTGCCCACCTTGTCTGTGGATATAGTGCGAGGCCGGCGAGACGTGGCCGCCCCGTCATCCGAGCGCTCTCTCCGAGGGCAGCTACGAGTTCCGCGTCGCATCCAGACACTAGGACTGTTGTCGGCCATGCCAGCGGCCCCAATTATCGGCATCATACTCCTTCGGCTGGGACCCATGTGGATCGTGTGGAGGGGCTCAGCGAGATACAGCAACAGATCTCACAATCACACCTGCACCAAGGAAGCGTTGTCATCTTGAGTCCCGTAACTGGTGAGAGCGGGTCGCTGTTCACCTTCCATTACCACCCGGGACAGATACACACTCATTTGGTGACACAGCTCATGGCTCTCCTGACGTCTAAATCAATAGCGGACATGGTTCATGGCTGTATCGATTTCTTCTTGCAGTATTTGTTTCCCAATACTCCAGTGGTCCATGAGAACACGCTTCGGGAGGGTGTTGTGTTACTTACACCTGACGGTCATTCGACTTTTGCTGATCTTGCCTTCTTTTCCTATGGCCACCCGCAAACATCGCACTTGAAAACCTTCACACTTGTTACGGCCCTCTGCGCCTTTGTCACGTCTCTCACCCCAAGTTCCCTTTCCACGTCGAGGGCATCGTTTTCCAGGCCCTTCCTTCTCGCATCTAGGGCCATGCTGATGGTATACGAGGAGTATGATCTGGAATATCCGGACTCGACATCATTGGCCATCCGAATGTGGCATTCTGCGGCACTGCAGAACACGACAGGTCGGGCGGGGGCATCGTATCATCACCATGCGCAGGCTGCGTTCCTTGCGCAACGGCTCCGTTTATACGACGAGAGCGCCGTCCAACGACACTCCCAAATAGAGTCGCAGCTGCTACGTGCCATGTTTTGGCTCTTGTACTTGGCCGACAAAACCGCCTTTGCCTTGGGAACCCGGCCGCTTGTGCTAGACGTGAGATTGTTTGATGCCGAGCTCACGCTTCTGGAGAACGGCAGTCAAGATTTGCCACTGCTCAGCAACAGCAAGAAAGTTGTCCAGGGGTCATTAGAACGCCGCTTATTCTTCGGCTTCCATCTGAAGAGACGCGTCTGGACTTCAGCAGCGGACCTGCTAGCGAACATCAAGTCGTTGGCGCTGCGGAAGAACCGGGGCACGAGCCCGGCAGCAGACCATGAGCTCCAGGTCGCGCGATTGGCTGAAGCATACCTCTTCTTCACCAGCTTAGCGGACCAACTCCCAATTTGGCTGAAGCATCCTGATACTGGAACTGACTCTCTCGACGACGATGTCGTGGCTTACCAGAGGGCCTGCTTCTGGATACAACGAAGCAATATCATGACTGTGTTTCACTGCATGAAACTTGTCATCCTACAGACATGCCTCGACAATAACCTCCAAGAGATCATCGGGCTTAACGACCGAGCAATGTCGTGGGCGACGCGAAAGATCGAAATCGTGCGAGACTTCCTATACGAGCTGCAAGTAGCTCCATTTGAATACTTCCAAGTGCAAGGGGAAACAGCAGTGAGTTAGCACACTTTACAGACCCGCCACTAAACAAGCCGACCTCGGTTAACGTGCCTATAGATAGAACGGGTCCGCCGCGTTGGGAGCATCCTCCTTGAACTCGTACACCATGCTGAAAACGAGACGATTGAGAAGATTGTGCGGCCGCAATTTGAGCAATTGTTGGATTTCCTCGCAAAGCTGGACTCCAAAGCTTCGGATGAGCTCGCTAGAGCATGAGATTCTATCAATCATGGTCCTTCGTTGCCGCTCTTCCGTGGGAGATTGAGGGTGGAGCCGAAAGTCGCTAATCAGCCCAAGATCAAGGCATGATCAAACAAGGTTACTTTGGTTATATAAGGCTACCTACCAGTGCGGTGCCGACGGGGTAGTGGTGGATAGATGTTAACTTATATACAAGCAGATTTCATAAAGTTTCAGCGAGTCTGTAGTTAATTTAAAGAATACTAGCATAAGGTGACTATAACATATGTAAATAAGTCAGCGGCTTTATGAGGTATGGAATGAGCTAAAATACATTCTACGCTCCTTAGGCAGTTCCTCCCTCAACAAGGATAGAAGACGGTCCTCTGGTTCTATCCAATTGTTATTATATAACTGAACTCCAATTAGCTTTTTACAAGTCATTCGAGAAGCAAGCATTCTCCCGTTCATTAAACCTCGTAATGATTACTCTTAGCGTTTATTGTACGTAAAGAGGGAAACCCACAGGTAATGTCGTTCCGTCAATAGTGCGCGGGTTTTCGCCTCTACAGCATCTCCTCTAAGGTGGAAATGACGCTGCTCATCTCGAAGAACACAACAGTCGAGAAGAGGCGTTAGTTTTCCACCTAGGCCCACCATTTCGCCTACAGTGACTACACAAGTGTTTGGAATCCCTCTCGGGACCCACCCCCACTAACCGCCTAGGATAGTCATAACGCCTTCAAAATCGCGTAGCTAGGAACGCGCAAAGAGGCATAGAACGCGATATTATTATGAATTGCTCAGAACACACGTGCTTTGACACCTACTAGGCCTACTGAAATGCATCAGCTAATTTTCTGCTGGATCAATAATATCATGAGGTTTTGGCGAAGGGTTTGCGACCGGCAGAATTTTATGTATCACAATGTTGTGGGGCCAATTGTGTCCAGACTTTTTGCATAGTCACTGTAAATGGCGTCAAGGCCGGCCCTTGAACTGTGGTAAGTAAGTTGGCGTGAGGAGATAGCGCGCCACAAGAAACATTTCGCTCAAGGCCATCATGAAGTAGCAACTTCAACGCGCATTCCTGCCCATATCCGCGGACTCCTCGGTGTAAAGAAGCTCAATCGAGTTAGTTTAGTCCGCGGAGTAATGTTCGTACGAATAAAAGACAGGTAAGTGTGAACCAAATTTTAAGTGGTTCTGGTGTAGTGTCTTATTGGGAGTGGTGTTGGCACGCCCCAAGTTTTCCCAGGGTTCCTTTCCCCGCAGTTAATTCCGATGCTGTTTTGGGGCCCCATGGGGATACACCGAAAGAACAGGCCTCCAATCCTTGTTCAACTGAAGTAGATATGAATGACCACTTCCCCAATATTTCCCGCCGCCATCCACTGCCGCATTCCTCTAGCAGCATTTCCCCACCGAAACCTGTTCTGTGCCAGATAACTCTAGTTAGGAATGACGCTGGCGGGGCTTAAGATGGATGAGACGAACTCATCAGAGAAGCCCGGCGAGACGCTGGTTGAAGCGACCTCCCGTGATGTCGACGGCCCGAAAGTGGATGAGTCCATCTCCGAGAATCTTGCTAAGTCGAGGTTCGATAATATGTCCGTTGGCCAGACCGCATGGGTCTTCCGGCGCGTCGCTTTCATCTCGCTCGCCGTGTACACTGGTTATGTTTGCGAAGGTTTCGAGGTTAGCAGAAATACCCTCCGTTCCCGACACAACCAATATGGCGTTTTTTTTTCATGGCTGGTATCATTGGCTTACATATCATGTCCACACAGCTCAAAGCTGGAAACAGTATCATTGCAAATGCTGGATTTATCAAACAGTTTGGTAGAGAAAATGGCTCGGGAGTAGCGGCATTGAACCCTACTTGGGGTAAATATAACCTTCCGTACGACCGGAGACTCTCCAATATTGACCAGAAATCATTAGTGTCCACCTGGAGCTCTCTTCTAGTATGCCAGCCTTCCACTTCCACTTCGCACACTTATCTAGGCGCTCATCGGAAACTCAGAACGTCGGTCAACTGGTCACATTAGTCTACATCTCTTGGTAAGCCAAGCCGTGCACACATGTCGTGGAACGGCCGACCATCATTCGGCCATGACCACTTCTATAGTCATTCACAGGTTCTGACCTACGTAGGTTTGCGGAAAATTTTGGCCGCAAGGCATCTTTCTATGTTGCTTGGATATGGTTGGTTGTCGTGAGTGATTCTCCGAGAAAACAACGGGGAGCCTTCTTTTCAGATAGGGCTGAATTGTCTAGGGTTGCATTTTTCTCAATACGGCAAAGACACCGGCTGTATGGGTAAGGCCAAATCACACTACTTACTCTTCCAGTGAAACGGTATTTCAATTATTGCTAAGCTCATCACAGGCCCTCGGAAAACTCTGCAATGGTGCTGGTGTCGGTGTCCTCCAGTAGGCATTGTCCCCATCCAGTAGCACTCCCTGAAACCCCGATTGTTAACATTTGCAGGGTCATATGCCAGGTATACATCATGGAAATTTGCCCAAATAAAATACGAGGGGGCATGATCAGTTTCCAAGCTGTCTGGTATGTTCATGTAGACTCTGGACTATCATCATCTGTATTTCTACTAATATTTGAAAACAGGAGTAATTCCGGTAGCATAATTTGCGCAGTCATGATGGAGCAACTTAACAAGCACCATCCTGACAACTATCTCTTGGCTGTGCGGATTCTCTGGGCCCCAATCGGGCTGATGATCCTCTTCTGGGTCTTTGTTCCGGAGTCACCCTGGTATTATGCCCGCCGTGGAGACAAGGAGAAGGCGATGAAGTCTATGAGGAAGCTCTACGGCAATGTCGAGGGCTATGAATTTGAAGAGGAGTACAACATTATCGTCAAAACGATCCAGCACGAGAGGGAGATGTTATCATCGGCGCCTAATTATATCCATCTCTTTCAGGGTAGTAACTTGGTAAGTCTTATCCCAGGCAAAACAGAGGATTTGAGGCTAATTCATTAGTAGAAACGTACTCTTACGGTCATGCTGCTTTCTGTCATGGGTCAGTTCGGCGGTATCGCTATAATTAATACTTATTCTACGTGTACAGTTCCTTGTCCCTCTTTCGAAAGTAGCTTGCTAACAGGGCAGACTTCTTTTCTCTTGCCGGTTTGACCGACCCTTTCCTCGGCACTGTTATCATCTCGTTAGTTTTACACCAGATGGGAGCAGTATGCCTCTATATTCATAATGCCATGGCTTGCTAATTGTCGCTTCTTCAAGCTGCTGCAATCTCCTCGCCATTATTGTATGGGCTTTATCCACCGATATACTCGGTCGACGTTCCCTCATGAATGGGTTTGAGACCGCGGTTGTCATATTCCTCTTTATCGTTGGTGGTTTATGGTGGACGGGGGCAACGACTGGTAACAAGGCCGCCAGTAACGCTCTCGTACGCTCCAATTCAGATCTTAACCCTTAGCCTGCTGACAGAAATTATTGTCCTTAATCTTGTTGGCATTGATACGCACCTGTTACTGACATATGTCTTAGCTGGTCATCTGCTGTCTATGGTCCTTTGCATTTACTATAAACTCCATGTCATACTACCTCATGGCGGCTGAGGTCCCCTCCGCCCTTCTCCGAGGTTGGTCTTGACGGTCCATTTCTCTGTCCATCAGTTTTCAACATCACCACTGACAATTCAATAGTAAGGACTGGTCCAATCGCATTCTCAATCCAATCAGTCCTGGGTATCGCATTTAGGTACGTCACTACGCTTCCGTTGCTCGGATAGAACTTCCAACTGATCTCCATAGCTATGCCACGCCGCCTATGTTATTGGCAATGAACCTCAAAGCTGGATTCGTGTATGGTGCTTTTTCGGTGCCCACTTGTATCCTAATGTGGCTATACGTGCCTGAAACTAAAGGGTAAGCCAACCCCCGGCCCCTTTCCCCAAACCTGCACCTTTCCGAATCAAAGGGAGAAGAGGCTGGTAGGCTGACTGGCATCGGTAGTCGTTCCGCGGCTGAGATTGACGAACTGTACGAACGTAAGATTCCGGTTTGGAGGTGGTCCGAGACTGTTACTTCTGCCGAGGAGCAAATGCGCGCTGTTTTCCTTGTAAAAGCCGGCGTCGATCAGGGGTCAAAGAAGGCGCTGACCCAAGAGTAAATTTTTGGCACCGTCTCGCTTACAGTACACAATGGAGAGAAAGATTCTATGTTGGAGTGAAAAGGGGGTTTTTGTTGTTGACAGACTAAGTATATCTCAGGGCGTAGATGGGGTGGCCTCGAGATTCTATGGCATTTGAAACGACTTAGTTTCTCAAAGAAGAGTATACTCTACCTAGATTACGACTATTCGTCGAGCCTAGACGATGATGATGATGATGATGATGATGATGATGATGACGGTCATTTACCCTGACCCCTCGCTTCAGCGATATGCAGGCTACTACAACTATATCTCTACCCTCGTCTCTCTATTGTACATAGTCCCATTTCTTATGGGTGAACTTTAAGCCTCACCTAGGGGCCTGTGTTAGCCATTTACCTTTGGTTCTGTCCTTACGGATTCCTTGGTCTGTGGCTATAAAATCTTTGAGATGCTTCTGCAAAATCTAATACAGCCTTTATATAGCTGGTTTCCCTATTCCCTCCTAGTAACGGTGTCGTGCGCGGAGTCCAGGTCTCCCATACTAATTACGGGTGACCCTAAGGGCTGGTGACCGCAGAAAGTGCGGATTCCAGGTTTGCTCCCAGAGTCCAGGTTCTGCTTCCCGGAGTCCAGGTTCGCTCCCCTGGAGTCAAGGGGAATAGTCTATATCTTAGTCAAATATTCATATTTTTGAATGATTAAAACCAATTTATGATTCTAACTGGCTAATCTATTAGATTCTAATATTAGATTCGAGAATATTCACCAGGAAGGTGGTCGAACCAGGGGGTAGGGGTCAGGTCGAAATTTTTTGTTGGGGTCTGCCAAGACCGCTATCCGTGGGAAGCCTATACCCTTGGTGATTCGGCCTGACTAGGCCAGTCGATTCGATCTGACTAGGCTAGGTGGTTCGATCTGGACTAGGCTGGGTGATTTGGCTTCGAGAGGTGCCTGTGCAGGGGGTCTAGGCTTGGTGATTCGATATAATTAGGCCAGTCGATTCGGTCTGAGTAGGCCAGCAGATTTGATATGACTAGGCTAGGTCGTTCGATATGACTAGGCTTGGTCATTCAGCTTTAAGAGGTGCCAGTACAGGGGGTTTAGGCTGGGTGGTTCGGCTTCGAGAGGTGCCTGTGCAGGGAGACTAGGCTCGGTGATTCGGCTTGACTAGGCTAATCCACTCAATATAACTAGGCTAGGTGATTCGATCTGACTGGCTAGGTGGTCCAATATGACTAGGCTAGATGATTCAGCCTGACCAGGCTTGGTGATTCAGCTTTGATAGGTCCCTGAGCAGGCTACCTAGAGTAGTTGATCTGGCATGGCTAGGTTAGATGATTTGGTGTAGATAGGCTAGATGATTCGGTATGGCTGGGCTATGCAGTTCAGTATGGCTTGACTAGGTAACTCAGCTTTAATAGTTCCTAAGCAGGCTACCAGCTCGGGCGAATCAACGAATCGGATGTAGAGGTTGAAAAGAGTGGATTGAGGCCCAAGGCTTGTCAAGATCAAGAGTAATCTACTGGCGGAATGAATATCATTTGAGGTCGCTATCTACTGCTCACGTACTTAGATCATGGTTGATGAGAACCATCGATAGGAGCTTGTATAGTGGTGTTATGATTCCATGATTTCATCCGAAGGACAGGCCACCACCATGTCCGTATTGTTTTGCACAAGATCCCAAAGCGATACATCGCACTCCATGATGGGAAGTAAACAAAGGACCATCGCTCCACAGTAAGACTGACATGTATGACTGATGTGACCGCTTTATCATAGAATGGCTCTTCTGGGAAAGAGTACATAATGGCCGGATTTCCAATCCTGCGAGACGCTAGAGACATCCTGTTGTGGTTGATGACCTTCCTATACGTTAACAAAGGATTCATAATTTCAGTTTGCGCATATCTTGATCCCCCATCGTCTGCTTGGAAATTGCAAAACAGTTTGATTATCCATCTCATGAGTTCGCTCCGTCTCTTGCCCAGCGCAGTCGCTGAATGAGCATGCTATCAACTCACTGGCCCAGCCAACGCCTCGTTGGCTTGTATTGACGCAACCGTATTCTCAATCCCACTTGTAGTAGCCATGGCATTCAAACAAATCCTCCTAATGCCTCACGTTGACCAGCAAGTCCTTCCGTTGAAGCTCCTTTTCGCCCAGTGTATTCCCACTCCCCCAAGCTACCCCGCTTCCTAGACGCAATGGACCTCGTATATGCATTCGCATTACCAAGATTATTCATACCGTCCTCCAACGCGCGGTATCAACAACAGAGCTCCCGGGTGTTCATTGGCTTTCTTGAATCGTTCTTTCTCCAATCACATCAGAATCCCAGGGACACCAGTTGCCACACAAGCAAGACCGACGAAGAGACCCGTAGTCCAGCTTAGCTAGTTAAATCGATCCATCCCCCACATACAGGCAGCAAGGCATATCTGAAAGACAGTATTCAGGATATTGTCCCATAATACCACATAGAGTTCTCACCTTAATGTAGGAGTAGGACTTCATCCTTTAAAGGAGCTATCATGAGTTCTAGTATGTTAAGAACCCCCATTTAGTTAGGGCCCTTAGTAGAACTAATTCGCCTGAACCTCTGTAAGATGATTGAACCATTTCTCCTGTCTTCCTGCCCTCCGGCCTAGTCGCCAATGGCACCACAGGTAGAGATCCCGAATCCGCCAGGGCGCAAGTCCAAACCCCATGACGCAAAAAAGCGCATTGAGGAGCTGCGAGTCAATCTCAACCCAGATCCAGCAAGAGGAGTACAGATCATTGGCTAGGATAGCATATTGCCAGTGCAGCATTGCACAGTAGTAGGAATAACATCCCACCCCATGCAATTACATTAAGGCCGTAGACCGAAATTACAAACGCCAGGAGCGCCAGGACCCAGTGGACGAAGGAATGAGCAGAGGTGGTCCATGATAAGGATGGATGCCTCTGCATATCTGCGTATTATTAAATTCGGAAAAATCAGGGGAGAGAGAAAATACGGGCAGAAGGAGACTAACTAGGTCCACATTCTCTGGGGAATGCTCGATGGGGGCAGTGTTCTTAGTTTCAAAAGCCATTAGGTTATCTTTACTTTAATCCCTGGACCAAAGGAGGGAAAAAAAAATTGCGGAGGATTCTTTAAGAATATCATACTTAAGAGGGCCCTTGTTTTCATATATACCCACAGGATGCATTTACTCAATTCTGCAATGGATACGAGTACGAATGACTGTCAAACATTACTTAAGTAGCTCTAATTTACTTAGGTTCGGTAGCCACTAGCATACTCGCAATGATATAACACCTCTGTAGAATATGCTCCACCAGCAATAACCCAGGCATTAGCGCGCAGTAGCCGCGAAAAAAATATGCAGAGTACATTAAATCACTTTCTAATTAGATATGATTGCCTGTATAACATCTTCCTCTGCTACCTGCTTAATCTTAACTTACTATGTCAAGGAGGTCCTCCAATACAGACAGAGCATGTGGGCTATAGTATTATCTAGAAACTCCACCCAGCAGAGATAAAAGGGCGTAAGACAGCCCTAATAAAGATATGATCTAGAGAATCTGGTTAGGTTTCGCATTTCTGTCCGATCCGACCGGATTCTGGTTTAAGCTAGACTGATTCCTGAAGCAGTGACTGGGTTAAGAAGGATCAGAGGTTGTGACAAAAGAAGAACAGGAAGCTTCAACACTCTTAGAGAAATCTACAACGCAGAATAGCGCATTATATATATAATAAACCTGAATGAATAAATATTAATAAGTCAAGCAAGGATAGAAGCAATTAACTAAGACAACAGCTGTTGTATTTACAGGATAAGACTGATATGACTTAAAAGGACACTTTTCCACATCTTAATATACTCCTCTATCCTTCCTGGTTAATCTCTCTTAACAATAGTAGTTTAAAGCCTCTGTCCTTGGTAAGTAACTATAAGGCGACTCCTTCAGGTAAGTTTCTTGTGATGCCATTAAATATAGTTATAAGTTTCTAGGCATTCTGTATATGACCCTCTATAAATCTGTAGATTACTTGCTTGTGCATCTAGTTCTAGTTAGCAGGAACATCCTTAATTTAATCTATAAGTAACTAAATGGCCTTCTCTACCTGAGACTTTGGAATAGCCTTCAGAATAAGACCCATGGCTGCGGCCTGCTTACCACTTAGTAGATCTCCAGTGAAGAGCATTCATTTAGCCTTCTCAACACCAATGTGCACCACCCATATGGCAGTCATAGGGCAACCCCACGCACGGGCGGGCTAGTAACCAATGCGAGCATCCTTAGCCATAACAACAAAATCACAGCACAGAGCAATATCGTTCCCACCGGTGACAGCAGCACCGTGAATCTGTGCAATGGTAGGTTTTGCACTATAGAATAGCTCTGCAAAACAGGCTGTGGACTGACGAGGAATGTGATTCATTCGTGGAAGAATATGCGGGTATGTCCAAAATCCCAGCCAGCTAATTTCTTGACTCCGAATGCTGCCCATAAACTCCGGATCAAATTTCGTATCCTGTATCTGGAGTATTAGGGGTAGCTCCAGTTTGCTGGGAAGGATTCTACCTAAGAGTCCTAGACGGGTCCCCCACAAAGCTCCACCAGAATCCTACGATAATTTATTTTGGCCCAAGAGGCGGGTCCGGATTCAAATCTACAGAGAGGAGACTTTGATTCTCCAATAACGGGGAATCTGCTCTTCGAAGCATTTGGAAGGTCTGATCGGTCATACGTAGCCCTGTTAGCCAGGAGCATTTTGACTGCAAAGGCATGGTTTTTCTTTCTTTCACTGGAAAGCCACCGAATCAGCACGCGGTTGAAGTTGATGATCCTAATGGGCGAGAATTTTAACAAAGTTATACATATTCGTAGTGTAGGCGGGACTGGTGTCAATCTCGGAGAGATCTCTTTTCTCCGCCTCTTCGCGGTGTTGTATAGAGATCAACGTAGTGAATCTATTGAGAGATGGTTCCACGGATATATTCACAATAGCACCCCGAGTTCTGTAATAATCACGTATCTCGGTCTTGAAATACTAGTCTTGAAGAACATCTGAGCCGGGTAGAATAATCAGAGGAAGAACCAGGCCATCGATCCTGATTATTCAATCAAAGGAATGAGAAGATAGAACTTAGGGTTGCAGGAATATTATCAAGTAATGTAGTCCTAATTCTTGCGGGATGATTAAGATTTTTCTTCTTTTTTTCTACAAGGAATCGAGATACCACGACCGAATATAAGTTTCCGAATTCACCGAAGATTCTACAAGAATTGATCCCCATCTCGGGGTGCGCCTGTCAAGAGATGCAGTTGATGTCCAGCATCGACCTATCCAGGTTGGTACAGACCCAATTCGCTGTCTTTCCACTCGGTGGGGAGACGCTGATATTGTGCGCCTGGATATTGGAGCATTTCTAGATCGCCCAATCAGCCTCCTTTCATCGCAATAAACACCAGGGCAGAGCACTTACTGAGGCATCACTACAGACTAGTGTGCCAACTTTGGGGTCGTAACGCTTCGAGGTCGTTCCCCTGATGTTCTTGAAGACGATGTTGGAAATGGTCATATTAGACTAAGATTATCAGCCCTCGAGTCAAAGATGGGGGAATATACAGTGGGTCGTTTCCTCACCGGATATTGATTGCAGAGGGTCAGGTTATTTTGCCCGTAACACTGGGTCAGTTCAATGGCCCAGTCGTTGTTGGCGTTGAAAAATCCATCATAGGTCACGTTGTTTACATAGCCAGAGCCGCCGCCGCCGTTGAGATTGCTCTGGAAATTCGAGTAAATGCCAGGCCACACCTTGATGCGCGCGCCATCGGAGGCATTGGACATGGAGGTGTTGTAAACGTAAATGTTCTCTACGATATCAAACTCCTTGACATACTGGCCCAGCGACCCGACCGAGATGCCATGCGAGCCATTGCACTGGAGGCCCTGGACGACGATGTTGGTGCTGTTGGGCTTGAAGGAAACGCAGTCATCCCCATTGTTGATGATTGAGTTCTGGATGACAATCCCGTCGGAACAATACATATCCCATCCGTCCGTGTTGCGTGGATAGTTCGAGTTGGCGCTCTAGATTGGTGTCGGCTCAGTCTTTCTGTCTTCCGAACCCAAATTTATCCTACTCACCACTGCGTTGAGGTTCATATCGCTAATCAGAATGTTGGTACTGTTGGCGATCAGGTTGAACCACTGCCAACTATGTCAGAAGAGGCACTCCGCCTTTCTTTTCCCCTCTCTATATTTCAGGTGCGCAGACTTACGTTAGGCGGATTAATCATGCGCAATCCCGTCACGGAGCCGCCATGCAGTCCATCCAGCATAAACAGAATCGGACGCAGGAGGGTGGACTTCGACGGCGCCAAGTCCCACCACGGCTGACCATTGCCGTTGATCAACCCAATGCCGTGGCCAAAGATGTTGACGTCCTTGCCGCCAAACCGCCAGAACGCGCTCAAGTCCTGATAGGCATACTTAAACGAGTGCTCGGCCCAGTACGGCAGGTCGGTCCCAAAGCTGATCGTGCCCGTGATGGCCACGTCAATGTGCTCGAGGAAGGTGAGATCCAAAGGCGACGTGATGGTGTAGTTGGAATACAAGACCACCGTGCCGCTGTGGTTGCAGTCGTGGAAGGCCTTGAGGATGTTGCCGCTGTCATCGCCACCTCTGCGGTTGGGCTTCACGAAGCAATACCGGTACGAATCGCGAGGCGGCGAAACAGTCTCATAGACCCCAGGACTGTACGGCCACGGCTAGGTGTCAGGACGCGTGAGGAGAGAAGTCAGTGGGGTGCCAACAGCACTAGGGATCAGACAAGCAAGGACCGCAAAGACTATAGAGGCAATCATAGTTATAATAAACATTATTCCGCTCCTCTCCCATGATAAGTGGGAGACGACCTTTTATCTACCTAGGACGGAGCTTTTGGCGCAATTAGAAATTTAGAACTTTGGATTATTTCCCTAAGGATTTAACCAGAAGGATTTACTAAGATTCTAGGGAGCTGTCCCTGCCTTTAGCGTCCCAATAGTTTAAATTAGCTATAGAGTCAAGCGCCTCCATCTCTATGGCGGAAACAAGGGTAAACATACAGTTCCATATATCAGACAGGCAATCCCAAATTATTCCGCAAATTGCTGTGCTGCTAATTAAATAGAGTTATGGTGGAGGGATCCTAGGGGTGATTTTTGGCTAAACTATCACTAACTTCATCCTTCTAAATATTATAATATTCTAATAGTTTTTCTTCAGTCTCCCTGCATTGCAAGCCCCTCCTCAAGTTATATACCTATAGCTCTCTCCAGTGCTCTCCTCGTCACCAGACTTGGCAAGGCAATGGCCTTTCCAAGGTCTATATCCTCCTTTAATTGGCCCTCGACCAATGTCATGTGCGTGTGATAGCACCTTGTACCTGTTGAAACAGCGCTGACCAAGAGAGATAGGCTGGCGTTTAGTAACTCATACTTATTCATCCAAGGAACGGAGGGTTACTAGGGATACAGCTTCATTAGATCTCAGCTCAATCTGACCTTTACCCCGCAGCAGTTGCTCTCCGATCAGATTATGCCTGGCCAAAACACCTCATCAGCAGGTGGCCCCAACTGGCTGGAGAACCTGACTGGCTGCACCAAGGGCTACCCTTGCGAGTGCAATATTCAATTATAGGACTTTGCCTTTGCAGGATCCAACATATCCACCAACTTGTACGCCCATAAGGGAGCTTCTGCCGTCATAGCCGCGAGCTAACATCCTGCCATCTAGCACCCCCCTGCATCATAACTCCACCATCTTATATGAGAACCAGGTCTTGCAATGGAAGAACTCAGCTAAGGACATCCTTATGGTCAATCCCCACAGGACTCTCGTCGCTTCATGGATCAGCATTAATGATATCAGCGACTCGTCGCGATATAAATTTCCTATCCATAACGCGACCAACTTCCAGCAACTATACACAGCTATAATCAAGGTGCAGTTTGCCTCCCTCAAGACTGTGTACACAGCCGGCTACCACAAATTCCTCTTTCTAAACCTTCCGCCACTACATAAAACACATAAGGACCATCCCTGTTGGGGTTTGTGCAGTGATTAACAGGAAGAACAGCAAGCGCGCAGATATCAACCCACCCACTTCCCAACACGACCATGATCGCCACATGGAATGCGGTGCTCAATGAGACCGCAAGGCACTTTAGCAAGGCGCACCAGGGCACCACAGCCATGGTGTTTGATGCCTACTCCTGGCTGACAAATGTTTTTGACCACGCCGCTGATTTTGGCATCACTAACACAACCTCCTTCTGCCCTGAGTATGGAAACTGGGACATCGATACCAACTACGCCGCGTATGTGCCCTCTAGCCCAACCCTGATGGCAAGAGCTGACTGACACCCCCCTCATTAGATACGGTTGTGATCCAATTTATGAATATTTCTGGTACAATTCAGGCCATATAACCTATCACACTCATCAGATTTTGGCGACCAAACTCAATGAGTTTCTGTCGACGAAAGCAGTCTGTGGAAAGACTGATGGGGGGCGAGCAGTTAACTGGGGGATGAAATAGGTTGGGGGGAGAGCTTGCTAGATCAGACTGTTCTACTTCAGTGTAAGTGAGATTACCGAGTGGGATATGTCAACCAAGTGAACTATAGTTCAATGTAAATCTGCTACGCAGGTAGTTTGAATTCAGGCCATCCGCACTGAGGTAAAAGTGCTCTGCAAGGGTCAAGATGGCAATCCGTACGCAGTTCTGCTGTACAGACGACGAGAGTTTGCACATCCTGAAGGAGCCTCGAGGATCCTGGAGACGTCAGAGTCAGCTGAGCTACGCATTATGCGATCCAGTCCAGTATGGCGCCCAACCCTCCCTCAAATTATACTCCAATGACCCACCGTACTCCTTGAATCCCGATCCCATCACGAGATGGGGTTGATGTGAATGCGCTGCAGTCATATGGGCACCATGTGCTCGTACCGGTTCGATACACTCGGTTTGAATTTGCATTTCGTTCTGTTGGTGGGCGTTGCCAATCACTAGTATCACCAGACTCCGCAGGACGCTAGTTACAAAGTGCTCTGGGCAAAGACATTGGGCGCTTATAGGTTTCGTTTGTGAATGATCGCGACAAGGTCAGGGTAAGTCCACCACAACAGTTTTATGCACTACATATTTATCCACTTTTGTGGGTATTTTGGGTAACCCATGGGTACCCGCCGCTACGGACGCTTTCGTAGACCTGTTTTCTGGTCTATTAGGATTCGTACCGAGACTTTTACTCGACTGTTTGTGCCTGGAAATGATAACTACCTCCCTGTGAGGGCAAGATGCCTCCAGGGGCGGATGTGACGGCGCGGCCGGGAACACCCAAGCCCACGGAAATGCCGATCGTTCCACTGGCGCCCATCCCACCCGCACGTCGGGTCGAAGCACAAAATCACCATCGACCTATGCTCAAGACCAGGCCAAGGAAGCGGCCGGAAAACTCGAACAGCGTCACCGAAGGAACCAGCCCGAAGCGAGCCCCTGAGGTAGTTCGACAACAGGACACGTGGCAATCCAATCAGGAGAACAGCAAACGCATGCCATCCTGCAGACGATCTTGGACACAGTCATAAAAAGCGAACACTTCAAGAGATTCCTCCAGCAGGAGATTGAAGCTAATCATGTGGAGACCTCGAAGCTGCGACAGGAAATCACGGAGCTTCGCAATGAGCAACGGGCGAGAAGCGACCAGCACCTGATATATATCGCGAGACTGGAGAACGAATACCAAGGAGCCATTTACGTGGTAGTGCGTCGGCGCTAACTAGCCCAGAGGAGCTTGAACAACAGCTGCAACAGTTGGTAGGAGAGGTTGAACAAGCGCTACACCGGGTGGCTCCGAAAGCAAAAGCATCACCGTACTGTAAGCGGTGGTGAACAAAAGAGCTCACGGCGCTGCGGGATGAATACATCCGCGCCAGGTACCAGTGCGAGAGAGCCCACCGATACGGATATCCACAACCGGGATTGGAGGAAATTGCAAAAGGGACTGCGGCGAAAGTACCACACAAAAATCCGCGACCAAAAAAGACACATTGGAATGAGTTCTTGGAGAAGGTGGAAAATATCTGGAAAGCGGCGAGGTACCTAGAACCAAGCGACCAGATGAGCACCATAGTTCCCGCGATGAAAACCGACGAAGGGCTTGTGGAGCAAGACGCGGAGAAGCCGGAAATTTTCCTACCAACGTTCTTCCCTCCTCTGCCCGATGGGTCCAATAGCTTAATTCGCTTCTCCAGTTCCTCTGGTGAGGGTATCTCGGCAACAATCTCGTCAAGGTTACGTTTCCGTGCCATGGGAGATTGGCAGATTGGCAGATTGGCAGAAGGGTAGGTAGGTAGGCAGGTTGGCAGGTTAGATGCGCGTTGAATAAACAAACGCGTTGAAGCAGTTGATAGCTGGCCACCCTGGCTCAGTAGCTAGTGGAGCTCTGATATCCAATAATATAATAGCAGATGTTAGTCTTGTAGGGGATTGGCTGATATAATACACTAACGATACCGGGCTAGAAATCCTTCCCAGATACTGCCAAGGGGATACTCCAGAAGTATTGCTTACCAATCGAGTTAATATCATTCTAAGTTACCAACCGTCAACAGGCTCGAGTGACGTGAAGAAGCTTTCTTTAGTTAAATAGTTAGTTAACTATCTATTGATAAGCAAATACTAGTCTACCCACCAGATTGGTGGGATCTGATAACTCCAGTAATCCCCGCATTCCCCACATTATGACCCGATGGTCAATATCTACGATCCCACGCAATAGTACCTTGATGATGCTATGCGGGGAAATTGTTCGAGGCTGGGTTATACAGGAAATTACGAAAGGAGCCCAGTTATGTTGCTGCACGGGACCCTGCGCTCAAGAGTAGCCAATAGGTAGAATCGAAGTATCTTTCAGTGGGACGTTCTCGTCAGGAGATTCTCCGTCGGGCTACTGGAACTCTTGCCGGATCAATGGAGGAATCTCAATTAGGGGGCAGGTCATCGAGTAATCATGGGATCCTGGATAAATATCGTGTTGCTTATAGCTCGAGGTTTCCCGTATGAGAATACCTAGAGTCCGACTAAAAATATCAAAATTTAAGAACGGACAAGCGGACGAGTATGAAAAGCTTCAACTCCCTCTTTTGTGCCTCTACCTTTTTGGTGAGCCTAATATCAATGAGCAATGCGACGCCAACTGCCCGTCCCCTGCACCAGGTCCTCATTTGTTCCGATAGTACGACGGCGACGTATGCGGCGAGTAGCTTAATCCAAGGGTCAGAATCTTATCATTTCACATGAGCGAAAGAAATTGGCTGACCTTACATGCAGATGGGGCTACTACATGCACAATTTCTTCAACCTCAACGTCACCAACCTCGCCCGCGGGGGTCGCAGCACCCGCTCCTTTATAAACGAAGGGCTATGGGCAGCACTTCTTGAGCGCATTGTCCCAAGCGAAGGCACTTTTGTTCTCATTGAGATGGGGCATAACGATGATGGAGATCCCACTACCGACGTGGACGATCGAGCCACACTACGCGGCATCGGAAATGAAAGTGTCGTTGTGGCTAGCAATATCACGGGTGGTGCACCAGAAACAGTGTACACGTTCGGTTACTACCTTCGGAAAATGACCCGTGACGTGCGCGAGGCTGGCGGTGTTCCATTGTTGAGCGGGATGGTCCCGCGGATGTATTGGACTGGCGATGTGCTTCAACATGACTGGCCTTTTGCAGACTATGTGCGTGAGGTATGTGTCAATTTCGATATAAAACGGCGGAGACGTAGCGATGGTTATGAGATTAAGTCGTCCTATAGGTGGCCGAGGAGGAAGGAGTGGAATATATCGATCACACTAAATATGCTGTGAATCGCTGGCAGGGCTTCGGGTCAGACAATGCCACCAGGCCCTACTATCCACTGGACCATACGCATACAAGCTGGCCAGGTGCGGAAAGTAAGAGTCACATTGAAAATATCAAGATGAAATCACTGACCACTGCCATAGTCAATATAGAAGCTCTCGTGACGGCTGTTAAGTGTGGCCATTCTGACGGGAACAAGCCGTCGCAATTGGCACGATATCTGAACACCAATGCCACCACGATTAACTATCCTTGCTAATTTACGGTAACTGTAGACAGTGAGTTCTTCAAACATTGGACGTTGGGGTGAAGCTCATGTCTAGATCGGTCGATTTTGCTGAAATCTGTGTCGGGATAAATCGTGATACTATTCCTGAGTCTTGACAGTCCTTTTCCCACATCAGCTAGACAAACTAAATAAGATTTACTCTTATGCTGCATATTGAGGTACATGTTCCTCAGAGTGTCATCCAATGTCCATAGTATCATGTAATGCGTACATCAATCTCCGAGTACACACCTACTGTGACTAGCTGGAGAGGGAGAAAGATGATCCTATTGGCTTGTTGGCGGATTGGCTAAGAGCTAGAGGATCTCCCACGTGACTATGACTAGGAGGCGAGTCTTTGAGATCATCACGACATCCTTGGCTTAACTCCATTGCTTTGAACCATCATTTTGGTAGATTTTCTGGTCTGTTCCCGAGCTTGTCTTGCACAAAGGCTCGTAATGTCATATTCAAACCACTCTTTTGAAGTGTTACCAGGGCTCACAGGTCAAAAATAACCCAACGTATCGAGCTCTCACCAATTTGAGTGGCCCGTGAGAGCGTATATTGATAGATATCTGGATCACATCAAAACTCTGGTGACTTAATCGTCTTTCGCTGAGATATGATTCCCGTCATGTCCATTGTCAAGCAAACGGGGCACTTGTATTTCATTTTGTCCTTGGCTAGGCAGTGCTTGAGAGTTTGTGTCATGTGGTCAAATACAAAATTTGATTGGTGGCCAGCGCCCTTCTGCTTGATGTGTTGGGAGGGACCATGCGACCAGCCATAGTCTCCAATCAGTTGACTGCACGCAAGGCTAAAGTATTGGTTCAACTTCAAACTTATTGCGGAGTTGAGTGTATGGGCAGGCGGCCTCCGCTGAACTGTAACCTGCTGGAGAGGGGCGCACACATCTTTGCTAAGAGTAATGTTACACGCTGAAGGGTAAATATTTTGGGCAGCCATCCTTGCTCAACTGAGACGGGATAATTAATAATATGCCTGGATTAAACCTACCCTTCCTCTGCCCCACGCAGACGTTGAACGCTCTTCGATTAGTGACGAGACTTGAATATTTTGCTGTTCATATCCCTCAAGGTAGAAAAGCATTCAATTATTAGTGTCAATGAAGCTTCACCAGAAAAAGAATAGAGGAGGCTTGCTTAGCCCCTAGACCTAAGTAAGCCTGAGAGTTGATCACTAGCTAACCATAGTTCAC